ACGCAGAAAACGGCTGGAATGCGAGACATTCACGACATGTTCTGCGACGCAGTGGCTACCTTGATCGGGCACAAGAAATATAATCGGGCGATCTATCTGCTCAAGTTCGCTGCTAGCCGGCTTCCAGCAATGCCAAAGAAGGGCTACAATAATTGTAAGTGACTATACTCAATGCATGATCAGCTCATTGAAAGCCCACTCTCCTTGGTTTCCCATTTCGGACCGTGCCTGACTTAATCAAATACACTAACATGAAACATGTAGTGTTGACAGATGCAATCGCAGCTGAAGAGCACTCTATTGTTGAGGCTGTCCTCCAAGTCCGGATTAAGGGTACCCTGAAAGTCACCTTCAACCACTTCGATCGTGCGATCCACATCGGGCATGCCCCAACGATATCGGTCCTTATTCGGGTAGGAAATTACGATGTGAATAGGGTCTACTGGGGATCGTGCGCTCTCACCCAAGCCATACTGTGGTGGAACAGTATAGAGGTCGTGCGTGTTCTACTTCAGAACGGTGCGGACCCAGATGGACCGGCGCAACTGAAGCAGCTCGAGCATCAGCCGCTCATCATGGCCATGGAAAAACAAAATTGGGACGTAGTCAAGTTGCTTCTTGACCATGGTGCCACATTAGAAGGTCATCATGATGATGCCGCTATTCCGCTCAAAGTTGCCAAAGAGCGGTGTGGGCCATCTCGCTGCTATGAGAACGTAACTGCAGGTCACTACACAGTCAAGGCTCGCAAGACTTACGAGCGGCTGGAGGAGACGAAGCAACGACAGGACGCGGGTGCCATACTTTCCACCACAGCTATGCATGGTGGGGAGCAACTATCTCCTTTCGTGGCTTGATTGGCCTGCAGATACAACAGCATCAATCAGCTGCTGCTTGACATCCTCGTCACGAAACTTCCACAATCCCGTATATGCGGACCACCATCAGTTCCCATGGACCACGAACGGAAACACGAATCGAATATATCGCTCAAACATACTATGCGGCTACATATTTCTGCTTTCACTTCATAGGCCGACCCAACTTCACTCTTGGCTTGGCTGGCGGCTTTTACTTATATATTCCCACTTACTTGGCAACGGCGTTTACCTGCTGGGATGGAGAGACTAGTCTCAATCTATGCCTTTTTCTTTCTACCTACCCTTCAGACCAACCCCCATAGTTTAATGCTTGTCCTTTCATATACCCAGAGACTTATTTCCTTAATCAGATCAACCTTTCCCACTTATTGAGAACGCTGAACACATTTCTTTATAGCCCTTCTCATCTCCCTCGTAATTATTCATTCTCCTCTCTCCACTTTTTCTTACAAGTGAATCTCACGTTGTGGACTAACATCACGCCTCTTATGAGCTCACTGCCACAATTGGCCTTGATCGTATAAAATACAGGACCTCCGCCTTCGTCCACACAAGTTTACCTCTTCCACACCACACAAGTTTACCTCTTCCACACCACACAACTTTACGTCTACGAACCTCTAAATCCTACAATGGACTTGCTTGATATGCCACCTGAGATTGTTCAGAAGATCATAGCAAATCACGTATCTGAGGTTGGTGTCTGCGAAGCGTGGCGGGGACGTCAAACCTGCAGTGAGTTTACCTTCCACGATACGTTCTTCCACTTTCTAACATGTCTAGGAACCTTCGCTTCTTACATCGCCGAAGAGATCTTTGCGCGCCAACCAACGAAAGCTTTCAAAGAGAATGCCCACTCCGAAACGTTCTTACGCGATCAGCTAGCCAAGTTCCTGATCTACCGATGCAGAAGTCTTCATGGCGCGAACCCTGTCCTGCCCCAATTCATCCGCGATATTACGGCACGGTTCATGAAGACTATTGGGGATGACTCGGATACCATGCGTGACTACCTCACGAGTGCACTGTCTTATGCAGTAGGCCGGAACCGCGACTCAGTTGACAGGCTTATCTTCAACCCTAAGCCGGCCACGATAGCCAAGCTCATCGGAACGAAGAAGGAAGAGCACGATGTGGCCGCCGCTATTGCTATAGGTAATAAGACAGTGTTCGCCGCCATTATTGTCGGACACGAAGAATACTTGTTCGAAGACTCACATATATTCGGAAGCCCTCTCGCGATAGCCGCAGTAAAGGGAGAGGTCAACATGGTGGCAGCCATCTTAGACGTCGGCGTACGCTTCCCACACGAAAATAGGTGGGTCCGTCATCATTTTCTCGCTCGAGGTATTGAAGGTGCCTTGAAGCGGAGATTCTGCACTACTGCACTCACGATCTTGCGTCGCTATCGAGAGTATCTGGGCAACGCCTGTTCACTTCCACAATCCTGTCTCGACAACTGGATATTATTTGCGGCGAACGGCAAGAGCGAAGAGACCATAACAGCAATCCTGCAACTAAACGGCGACGAGCGCAGAGTCGCGGATATTACCGTGAGAGGGGTCATAAAGCACCTGCCAGACTCCTTGCTCATCAGAGAGATACTAAACATCGGCCGAGCGCGAATGAAACACTATATGATGCGCAAACAGAGCACTCAGCTGCTTCATTGGGCAGTACCGATGCAGAGTATGGTCGGTGTTCGCGCACTACTCGATAACGGCGCTGACCCCAATGGTACTCATGGAGCAATGGTCCGCGACGATTTCCGTCCACCCGTGCCAATGCATAGCGCAGTCTCAAATTGCGACAAGGATATGGTAAAACTGCTCCTGGATCGTGGCGCGAATCCTAATCATATGTTTGACTCGCAGGGACAGCTATCCCACGTCAGTGTGAAGAAGAAGAACAAATCAATTGTCAGATTGCTGGAGAAAGCAAAGAGGGAGTTCAAGATATCACCACTGGAGCCTTGACTACCTTCCGCATGACACGAATCAACACTCGACCAGGCAGCCACAGGAGCTCCCCGTCACCGTGCTATCCATGCTAGGATTGCCAACGGGCTTGAATCGGGAACTGCATTACTGGACATTTGGTCGTAGGATGCGTCCGTCTATCTATGGGATCTGTCAACTTGAGAACCTTCTTTATATCTCATTGTGAATTGATCGGGTTCTCTAGTGCTTATTCCAACATCATCTACCCCATCACCAGCATTTCTGCAAATCTTCTTTTCAATCAACACGTACCCTCGTCTTTAGTCATTACAGGGATTTCAAATGGGTCACTCGGCATACATTAGCTGGGGTGCTTTCTTCAACTCTACATGCCTCTGCTTGAGCAGGCATGCTTTGAGATAGTTGCTTCATCCATGCTTGTGGTCGCTTCCGTGCCCCGAGATCAGTCAAGCGGGCAATTCAGCTTTTAGCTCATTAGATCCAAAGTGTGGACAATACAACTTCTTTCTCTAGAGGTATAGTATGCTCGAGTGAACCATACGATCTACCCATGATGCCTAAAAACTTTTCGATTGCGTCAAAATCTCTGTGAAATGTCTTCCGACTCATGCTGGGAAAGCAAGCCAGCTGGCAATACGAAGATCGCGTATCTATTGAATCACAAAACAGTCAGAGACCAAGGGGCTTTATTGGTCTTTATTAGCCTATTTACTGTCCATCACATAACAGTTTACGATGTCAACGTAAGCCTATTGAAGGTGGCTCAATACCAGCTCCTCGTAAACAGAGACTCAACAATCAGAAGCTCTTACGAGCAAACATCTATTCTCTCTCCTCGTACCTCGTATGATGTGCACAATATGAAGACGGCACACACAACCACGTCAAATCTGGCGTGTTGAAGTTCGGCCATAGCAAAGTCCACAAGATAGATTTGACCAGGCCAGCTGATCCCGGTTTTTCGAGAACCGGCTACGGGGATACCGCTATCAACTACCCATATCTTCGCTCGCTACCTTGCTTTCACTCTTCAACGGCACCACCATCTCACTCAACCACCCACCCTCTGATCCAATCACAAATTCACCCCACTTCAAAGACGCTCAATACCCGCTCCCACCGGCGGTGGCAGAGTCCAATCAACCTCCCCCGTCCTATTCCCATGCACCGGATCGCAGCGATTCGGATTCATCTGCAGATCATCATAGCGATCATACGTAATGCAATCAAACCACTGCGTGCCAAAGCTGCCACAGCCCTCGAGCCATTCGACGTAGAGTCTATGCTTCAATTCCGATTCCCGCACCAAGGATCCCGAGCCCGGGCCGGAGATGGAGAAGGTGGACACGAGGCGCGGTTCGGTGTATGTGGCCAAAGTCGTCATGTTGGAGCGGTCGCCTGCAGTTGAGAATTCGCAGGACGTGGGGTGCGCGCGGTTGGTGATGCTGGAATTGTGGTGAAAGGGGGAGGGTGTGGTTGGGCCGGTGAGGGTCGTGGGGGTGAAGTTGGTCTGGAGGTGGCACGGGTGGTCAACGAGAGATATGAGTCCGTCTAATATATCTTTCCTCGTTCTTAAGGGAGGGGAAGACTCGGTATATATCGCTAGGTAGATGTGCATGTTGAGGACATACCATGGCTTTCATGTTTCCCCAAACCAAATCCGTTTCGATCTTGGCCGTCACACCCACGTCCAAGTTCGCAGTCCCAGAGACCTCCATTCGGCGTGGTCGCGCACGCGCAAACCGGTTTGGATGGTGGATGGTGGCGAATGTGTAGCATCGCCTCTGGCTGGCTGTATCGCTCGAGCTGTGAGTAAGGAGACTGTTTGGCGTGGAACCCTTGGTCGAGTAGGTGACGTCGAAGTAGGAGAAGTCGTCTGCTGGAACGACTTGAACGGAGTAGTTGCAGGGCGTGACATACACGTCCTGGATGTTGTAGTCTTCGGCTGAGGTGAGAAGGAGCAGGAAAGAGGAGGCGAGCGCAATGAGGAGTGAGTACAACATTGTGCGGGTGATTGTTAAGGAACGACTAGACTAGATGATCTCAGGGAGCCCAGTGGTGCGAAAGCTATTGTTTATACTGATATACCATTTGTTTCTCCGAGTACGTAGACACATAGCATTACATGATATAGTTGTTCCAATATTGTACTGCTCTACTGTACCGTGGGTAGCTGCGGGGGGTCCCATATATTTGGTGGAGTCTCACATGATGTGTACCCACCCTGGAAGATATTATATGCTAGGAAGCCGTCGACGGTGAGGGCGGGGAGAACAGTCCATCTCTCTGATCTGACAACTGAGTACTGCGCGATTAGCTGCGATCCCGATGGGGCCCATCCTCTCCTTCTATCGCCGGTGCGCTCATTGGCTGCAGATTCGTCAACACAGATAATCTGCTCAGCCCTCCAGCGCTAGGATCGCTGCTTCCACACGGCTCGGAGTTGGAGGCTCCTCTCCTTTGCGTGCCTCTCCATTACCTTCTTCTTCCAGTTCCTGGCAACAAGGTAATTGAACACTGTTGCCCGCGAGCAAAGGACTCCAAACTCGTCAAGGAGAAAGTCTTGAATCTCCGAGAGGTACGCCCATGGGCGCTCCTCTAGCCAATCGAACAGAGCCTGCTTTTGATATGGGAGGCAGAACGATGGGCGCCCTCGCTTTGCTCCATAGATCTTCGGGGTATATGGGCCTTTGACAGCAGCGAGGTTCGTGGCGATCTTCCGGATCGTGCGGCGATTGATCCCAGTTCTCCTCCAGATCTCCCAATGAGATACACCAGCGGCAAGGAGGGGGTACAGCTCCGCGAGCTTGCTGTCGTCGAGGGTCTTCCCCATCGCTGCGTGGCGGATGAGTTTGGCAGCTAGGCAACGTCAACACCAAATATATGTGGAGAAGGCGCCTAGGAAAAAACGGGTACTGCCCCACAAGGATCCTCCTCACCCACGGTACAGTAGAGCAGTACAATACTGGAACCACCGATAGTAAGATGCTATATTGGCGCATCGCATCTAGAGTACTTCAAGATTTTGCTTCGGGTACTGCGACAGCTTATCTTCACTACCAACTTTATTGCAATGTAATCTATCCATCAATGGGTAATTATCTCTTTCCCGATTCCCTATGATAAATTCATAAGACGTATCTGCAGACTCAAAACGCTATTCCAAATCATTGGCCCGGATGACGAGGACTCTGATCATAGATCAATGGATAGTGCTTCTAGGAACATGGATGATGCGGAGTTATCGGAGCACATAGCTCCGGATTGTCTCAGGTCCAAAGCATGGAGGAATTCGAGCATGCTGTCTATGGTGGATCAATGGAGTCTACATGTATTACAATTCTTTACTGCCACAACTGTATTTCATTGCCTCGACCACTTGCTTCATGCTCACCCTACGGCGGGTGTGAATAGTCCGACGTGACTGTGTGGTCTATCATCAATGTGTGAGACCTGGTTTTCTAAGGCCCCCATGACGCCTACAAACTGCCACGCCGTCGACGAAAACCGTTGAGACGCGCTAGAACGGCCATAAAGAAAGGAAAACCTGAATAGGAATGTGGTCTTTGAACACCTATAAGGCGCAATAGAGATGTGAGCCAATAGGGAAATGTCGTTGCGCTGTCGTGTGACAATCCTTATAGTAGCCTAAACTGCCTCTGTACTCGGGGCCATGTATATCTGAATCCATTCATGCGCATTACAATCTCTCGCTATTGCAACCTGAATCTAGTCATGTGCATTATAATCTCCCGGCATTGTAACCTAAATATTTGTGAATAGCCCAAATCTATCACAAACCATCAGCAAGGCTGGTAACTGTAAAGAAAATGGGTTATATAGACTTTCGTGATGAACCATACAGAAACGACAGCATCTGTTATCGCGAATCCGTCCACAATGAAGGCCACCACTGTCTCCTCCATCTTGCTCCTTGCGGCCACAACGGTCAAGGCTCATTGTGCGCCCTTCCGCTTACTTCGATCTCCTGTCAAGCAACTGACTTGACCCAGATTATTTCCCCTGGCTCATTGTCAATGGTACTCAAAGCCTGCAATGGAAATATGTTCGGTAAGGTTCTATCCTTTCCCCTCCTTCTAGTCGGAAGCCCTTTACGTTTTCGCATCCTCGGCCCCAGCTTATAACTGAAAGCAAAACGCGTCCGGACCCTTACCAGTCTACCAAGACAGCAGATTTAGCCCAACCGCTTCGAGACCTGTTCAGCACGAATTTCACCTGCGGCCGCAGCGCATGGGAGTCTATGACCACGACAGAGACTGCTGATGTTGTCGCAGGAAGTGAGATCGGGTTCAGGATCAATCAAGGTATTGTTGCGGAGCCAAATGCGAATCAAGTAAGTCTCTCCTGCAAATCTTCCATCACTAACCAGATTCCTTGATGCGGTGTGTTCAAGGGAAGTGAAATTGCGTAGACACATATGCTGACCATTTGCGTTCTTGCACGATGATTAGTCCGGGCTCGAGCACCCAGGTCCTGGACTAGCCTACCTCGCACGTGCCCCCAATGATGACCTGACGACCTTTAGTGGCATTGATGGCAATTGGTTCAAAATTGCGGAGTTGCTGGGCAAAAGTGACAACGAGTGGAAATTGCATAGTTATGAACAACGTATTGTGCGTACTCCATCTTGGTTTACACTTCCAGTTCGAAATTTCCTTTCCTACCCGTTGGCTCCATTAACCCCTGTTTCTCTGCTTCCTTTTCCTGTTCTGCTCGCTCTTACTTTGGCTTCCCTTGCTCTTGCGAACACTCCTTGTCTGTCTCCACTGTTGCCTTTGATTCAACTACCTTCCCTCCCCCCTGTTCTTCGATCTCCCCTTGTTCTACTAGAGCTAGTAGCCTGTTCTTGTCTCCATCATTCTCTAACCTGATCCAGATAAACGTCACCATCCCCCGCGCTACCCTCCCGGAAAATACCTCCTCCGCTTCGAGCACATCTACCTACAACCCTCCTTTTACATCGGGTCACAGTTCTTTCTAAACTGCGCGCAGATCAACGTGCTTCCCCCATCCGCACCAAACTCCACCAGTACGGGTGAAGGCAAAGCAGGGTCAGCAAGCTTGGAGGACTACCCGTATGCAAAGTTCCCGGGGGCATACGATTATATGGATCCTGGTAAGTTCTTATTACTAATTTTCTAATTCGGAGAAAAGGAGTGAGGAAATGGAAAAGGAAGAGAAGCAATTTGGACTGACTGGAGACAGGAATTTACATCGGTGAGAACATATACACAGAGGGACTATTGCGATATGTGGCGCCGGGACCGCCGTTATGGAAGCCGTGATGAAGCCAAGCCAAGGAGGTTATTGTTGCGCGTGCTTAGTGGTGTAACAGGATAGACCTATCCTATCCTGTATAGTGCCACGAGATATTGCGCGTGCCCTTGAAACATTGGGTACCACGTGGCCGTCACGAGGGGTCTCACCTACTTGTTTCAGCCGTAGAAATGCTAGCGATTTACCTAAAGTGACCCCGTTTCTTGCAAAGGAAAGACGTACAGTCTTCGTTATCTCGAATTCTGCTGTGAAAGGGATTTGGCTGACGGTGCTGTACTTCCAGAAACACTGACTAAGTGATATCGACCAACAACCTTGTACGTCTGGAAGTAGGTCGTGGTCAGAGGTTATAGAACTAGATAGACTAAGTCAATGACGGAGGTTTGAGATGAGTAGTACATGGTACATGGAGAGACAACGTGTCAATCAGCCTTAGCGAACCCCGATGTTCTATGCTATGGTCTTGCTTCCTACTAAGGATAAGTTATAGTCATAGAGTATTCTACCCAGGTACTACCTAGAAGCCATACTTCCACCCCTACCTTCCAAAAACGTGCATGCCTCAAAGACTTGCCTCGTTCTAGTAACCATCAACCCATTCACCAACGATAAGGTCCAAAATCTATGTAACCAGCCCGCCTACTCTCATCTCAAGACCCCATAGTCAGCAGATTCAACCAGTATAGGAATGTGCGGCCCCTGGTACGCTTGCGAGCGCCTACCGACCAGGATACCGCAGTGCCGAACCAGGATTCCCACCACAACCTTCCGCTTCCAGCATCCCGGCCAGCGACCCTACAAACTGCGGATGACAGCCATGGGATACCAACGCACCACGCGAGTGGCGCGCACGGAGATTGCTCTGGTGTAACCCCAGATTTGTGCCATCTAGTTCTGGGAAATGCCCGCCCTACCAGCGACCCTACCCCTACCCAGTCTAGGATATCGCCTTAGGCGGCCTTCGCGTGTGCGCACCGCGTGAACGCCTGTTCCCTCGCCTGCTGCCAATCCCGTCAGCGACGGGGTCCAGGAGCTTCCGCAAGCGTGCGTGGGCTCCGAGATAACAGCTCTACCTCCTACCCATTACCGCCATTAGCAATATTGGATGTTGGTCATACTGGCACTGTCTCATTGCAGGCAGGCAGGCACACAAGGGGATGTAGGTGTCCCAGGTATCGCCCGAGAGAGAGACACGGCATGCGAGACGGGGCATATAACAAGGAGGCCCTGATATCGCCATCAGGGCCGAAATTGCAGAACCAGACTCTGCTACATTGCGCTCCAGCGTCGTCGACATGAAGTTATATTACCTGCACTTTGTGCTGCCGCTGTTCCACGGCGCTGGCATTGCCGCCCCGGTTGATGGGAGTCCGCTCAGACGCGGTCTGGAGATTGTCCACACGACGACGACCCGAGATGGCATCGTGATTGACTGGGTGCCTCGCGGCTCCCAAATCTTTGGCCCGATTGCGAATCCGCCGCCCCTCCCTGCCGATACTCCTGTGCAGGCAAATCAGACTGCAGAGACCCCGGTGCCCATGCTAGAGGAAGTGGGGATTGAAAAAGGTCCGGAGGGAACTGTTCCCATAGCGCGGCTCCCAGCTGCAATTGCGCAGATTATCAAAGGGCCGCCCGTCAATGCTCTGAGGGACCCACAGATAGGTGCTCGTGCGGCGGGCGATCACTGGTATGCTTCGAGTGCGGAGAATGTGGGACACCACGGTGGATCGGCAACGTACTCGCTGTACAAAGCCTATACACAGTCGAGCAACGATTTTTCGCTATTGCAAAGTGCGATTATCAGGTACGACGTACCGAAGCCCGGACAGAACTCTGTGACGGTGATGCAGACTGTCGAATCTGGATGGTAAGTATTCTCTCCTGCGCGAGAACATACCGACCAAGTACTCACAGTCACAGGATCAACTATCCAGGCCAGATTGCTTCTCCCCACCTCTTCACTTTCTTCACCACGGATGGCTACGCTTCCAATGCCGACAACAAGGGCGGCTGGAATCGCGACGTGGCGGGCTGGGTGCAGTACGACTCGTCCATCTTCCCTGGTACCTCCTTTTCTCCACTCTCCACGCGCGGCGGCACGCAGTACGAGATCAAGATCGAGTGGCTCCTGTCCAGCGGGAATTGGTGGCTCTTCGTGCTCGATCGGTGGATTGGGTACTATCCCGCAACGTTATTCGGCGCGGGCACGGACGCAGGGAGCTCGTTGCAGACGCAGGGTAATGCTATCAACTACTATGGCGAGATCTATGATAGCCACCCGCAGCTTACGACGACTGATATGGGGTCTGGCAACTGGCCGGAGGCGGGATGGCAGCAGAGTGCGTATATCAGGAATATGGTATACACGGATCTAAACGGGAATGATCAGCGATATGACGGGAGTGCTGGTCAGGTGGTGAGCGATACGAACAGATACCGCATGACCCCGCACTATCAAGATACCGGGAGCTGGTCCAGTTATATGTATCTTGGAGGGCCGGGAGCTGGAGGTGTAATTGACGGTTGACAATACCTGGTTGTAGTATTAGAGAATGCCGCGTGACGGCCCGCAATGTTGGTTTTGGATACGGGAGGTGGAATTAACCTCGAGGACTTGACTAGAACGTCTCTTGGTCTCAGTACCATGTACCACTTCATTTTCTTACAATCAAGTCATTGCTTCTCTTCAATGTGCTCACC